ATACATATCACGGTTACGACAAATAGAATTTGTGAGAAACTAAGACCGTCTACTGCATGTTTCTTTCTGGATTCTAGGTATCACGTGCGGTTTTGTAAAAACTGATTAGCGTGAATTTTCAAGTTTCAATTTAATCTCCCTTGTCGGTACCAGCGCTTGTACGCGCCAGTCAAGAGTTTGAATGTCTGTCGCGGATAATCTGCCCTCATCTACCCACTCTCCTCCACTCCACTCTACTCCACTCAACTCTTCTTTCCTCTCCTCTCCACTCTCCTCTCTCTACTCTCCTCTCTCACTCTCCTCTCTCCACTCTCCTCTCTCCACTCTCCTCTCTCCACTCTCCTCTCTCCACTCTCCACTCTCCTCTCTCCACTTTCCTCTCCACTTTCCTCTCCTTTTCTCTCTCCTCTCTTCTCAGCGGCTCCTAAGTCACTCCCCGTCAACATGTTCACGTCAATTTTTTTCTGATGTATTATTTCCCTAATTGCGTGAGGTTCTCCTTCTAAATTCGTTCCTTTGGAATTAGTACTCTTTATTTGAAAGAATCAGTGGCACATGCCAATCAACGATACTGGAGTAACAGATTTTGGAATTAATCAAGATAGAATCATTGTTTAATAATTTAATTATTAAATTCATCATGTGGCCATATCAAATATATTCAAGTCATGTGAATTCCTCAATTCATTAGTAGTTATTCCCTTCCCCACCCATGATTTTTTTTGCCTGGGAGCCTCTACTGTGTTAACACAGGGCATTGCATATTTTTTTACGATATTTGCTCTTAACTGTGTAAACTTCACGATAACCAGTTGCTCTGTGTCTACCGTTCCAAGATGTTTTTTTTCCATTTCACTGTTCTGATTCTGCAATGGTGTTCACGGTATCGAACGAGTCAAATTTTGTTGTTGTTTTTAAGGTTAAGGTTGTTGTTTAAATGCCAAGTTTTTGTTTTTCTCTGAACTAGCAAATTGTCCTGTACTTCTCTAGCTGTCTGTAAGTTTTTTAATGTAAGAGTTTCAAAATGCTGATCCTCGTCTTTTCTCCTCGTTAGAATGTGAAAAATTTGTTTTGGAATTTGCTGGTACTATTTTGCTTTCTGTTCGGCAAGTACATCATTTTCCATTTCGTTCTTCTGCATAATTTACATCATACAGTTGTGACTGATGTTGATTTTGTTTTCTTGTGATCCTAATGTTCTTGTTAGAAAATGGCTCATCACAATTCATTCTCTCTTCTCTTTCAATCGTTCTTGTTCAGGGTAGAAGCTGTAAATGCGCCACTCAAGATCGTTAGTCTCAAGCCTTCTCAATGACTTGTTTGTTTGGTAAGAGAATCTGCCTTGACGAGAAACACGATCCTATAACGAATGTGCTATTTTCGAAAAGGATGAAAGTCTTTAAGGTCCCACGGATTTTTGGAATCGGTATGATGCCAAAATCTTAAGAAGTCTTATTGAAGATACATTAAAGTTTTAACATAAGCCAATGTTTCAACGACACGGGAGTAACATCAACTTGGGAACCACTGATTCTGGAATCGATCTCGACGTCTGAAATGTAAATTTGCTACATGCTAAGTTGTTGTGTGGAGACCGGAAAGTATCAAGGTACATCCCCAAATAAAAAGAAATGAGATGTGCCTTCATTAAAAATATGGACATTTTTTGATGAATCTACTTTTGAATTCAACTTTTACAATTTCTTATTATCTTGAATAATAAATTCTCCTTGTTGAATTTCTGTCATTCTCATTTAAAATAACTGGAGAATTCAAAGAAATATTTCGGAACCGCAATTAATGTGAATAAACCATGTATGGAAAAATCACATTAGTTTATATTACTCGTATTTTAGTTTATGTTTATATGATATTTCAAGAGTGCTTTGTAATTATCAATCATCAACTATACTAAATATTTGTTACATACATTTCTGTACATTGATTATGCCTCTCACTCAGATGAAATCACAAGGGGCAAAATGATGTTACAATGGTTTTATTATATTTAGGTATGATCCTCGTAATGTTTCCCTTGACGAAACCACCAGAAACGAAAACCCAACATTAAGTGCAGGGGTGAAAACAACAAATGAGAAAAAGATAAAACTTCACAAAATGACTTGTTATTAAAGGGAGATAATTCCGAAAGGAGCTGTAAACAAGCAGGCACGCGATGATGGTTGGGAGCTACGTGGTCGAGATAAATCGAGAATATCTCGAGGCCCATTCATCTCGCGAGGCGGGGGACGACTGTCATGAGTGGTTTTCTTCATTTCCCGCTGCATCTTGGACCGTTTCCCACTAGGAGTCAGATTTGTACTTTCTCATTTCTAGACACGCTCATTCTTCATGTACTTATACACTTGCACGCCCACGTACATGCATATCATTCCGGCTATAACTTTTCGCAAGTGGGGCGCTTTCTGGAACGAAAAGGAATATTCGACGCATTAAACGACCACATTCGTAAGATTGGTTATTTTGAACACGTTAGTCTATTGTCTGGTAAAATATTATAAATTGCTATAAGTTCAAACAATCACCATAAATCTTCTAGTTTTTTATATCACATCTTGGGGGAAAATTATTTACAAATAGTAGAGGGTAAATCACATTTATAAGTTCACTCGGTTGCAAATTTTAACACACTACATACAAACATAGTACATAAGTTACAAAATGTTAATTAGTTCCTCCAGGTCAGAACTTATCACTTGAACCATTCGGCAAAGTCGAGATTGACGTCAGGAAAGCAGAAGAAAATAACTCAACTCTCATTGAAGTAGTTTAGATTAGTAATAATAATTAGAAATATGATTCGTAGTTGTGACTGGTTTGAATACCCGTCCGGTACAAGTAGATTTGATCGGGTTCGCGGCAGTGTTCTCGGCATTCTCTTGTTTCGATGCCTTTTATACCGCCATCTTCTGTGCGGTAGAGGTTGCTAAGAACATCAACTGATCTCACTGCAGTGCTTGTCATCGGAGGTCCTAGTAAAACGGAAAATTAAAGATTATAACGAAAAAAAGTTCATTGGCATGTCATTTACTTGTTAATTCTATACTCTCATTATCCATTCACATCCCATTCCTGATGAAAAATAATGATTGTAGAACTGAGTCTACATCTTTGTGGAGTCGTAATATAATGATAAATAAATAAAATTTGATAAATGAGTATGATTTAGTAATGAAAGTAAATAAATAATGAAGGAAATATTGAGCTAAGTTTGAGTAATTTTAAGTACATACTCGAAAAATTTGTTGAGAGCTTGAAGACACATTTCTAAGATAGCTTCTTATTCTACGCTTAATTACTTGAAATACTAAATATTACTGTGTGATGAAGTACTCTACTGTTTATTTAAATACTTTATTTAGCCTTTTTATAACATCATGTGAAGCAGATTACAGTAGTCTGCGATGGTTTCATTGCCCCATCTTGTATTGCTTTTTAGGATTACTTTTGCACTCTGCATCAGGACCCGACGTTATTTTTCCTACATCACGTTACGTTGTAAAAACAATCTTATTTTACGTTTTATCACATGTAGGCACTAATGCACTTCTTAAGTTGTATCAGAAGGTTTTCGAGGTCTGCCTTGCGCTGTTCGGGTTGAGTGGACTGTCTTCTGGATTAATTGCAAAGCAGTCTATGGTAGCTCATGCAGGATACAGGTTGCGTTTCGGTTTCCATTAGAAACAGACGATTTGCAGAACAACAAGTTTATTCACTTTGAAATGCAATGTTATCACACAAACACACAATAACAGTTTCACAGTTCACTTTCAATTAAACACTTTAACTTGTGTTCAACTTATAATACAAATTTTACACTTCGCATTCGAGTGATTCAACTATGTTCAGTGTGAACATCAGATAAAAGCCTGGAACACGTTGATACGCCAGCTGTATTCGACCCAGACTAAAGATACGTTCCCTGGCGGCGACGCGCAGGGAGGTACGTTTGCGTGTAGGGCGCGGGGAGGGGATTGGCAATAGCATATCATGGATTAGTAATTGCAATATGTTCAAAATCTCCTAGACGCTTTTGGCAGTTGAACCTTTGTTTGACCGGTTGCAACGGCAAAGCGTGATGCAACCCGCAAGACTTTGGGGGATCACCGCGAGGCCTCGCTCACTCACACTCGCCACATCCGCGTGCGCAGTGCGAGAAGGCAACGCGCAGATTCTCTCCACTGCTCAGCACGTGCAGTAGAATTTCTGTATGATTTGCAGTTTTGCTGTTGTAACCGATCAGGAGAAGTCGTTTTATTAAGACTAACAGATTAATTTTATGATTTTTAATTAATTTGATGATCTGCATCCATCTGGAAACCCTTCATAATCCGCTCAGTCTCGAGTCGGCAAGTCACAATGCTGCAAGTTTTCCAGAGAAGCGACATTTTGTTGTGATTTGTCCGCTTGTTGTGTTTCGCCTTCTGGTGAAAAGTGACGTTTTTCTTCATAAATGTTCCTTAGGGAGTAACATACTTTGTTTAACATGTATTTCAATAAAAATATTATGTTTATTGAAATTATATCAACATGCTACGACGTGGCTGCTAGAACAGTCATGATACATTCTGCTACGTGTGTGGAAGTTTTCTGCTGATAAGACTGCAACACAAAATAACTGAGTTCACGAGGAAGGCCTATACCACATACGGGTATCAAACTGGGAGTCCAAGACAAGCCGTGGGCACCACATATGGCTTGTAGAACGAGTAGAGAGTAGTTACGACAATGAATGAGAGATGAGAGAACAGCGTTGACATTCCAATGGTGTGGCGACAACCTACAGACCACAGTACTGACTGCTACTCCTGTTCTGTGATTGTGAAGGGATTTAACGGTAATCCCAAAAGTATTGTGTATCCAAACAATATTTCATTAGCAATTACCTCATGGTTGTGATGTACCAGCTCCACAGCGTTCTGAAAATTTATAAGACTGTCCCTCCTCTGAATCTGAATGTGATGCAGAAATGGCCGATCTACCTTTGATTGTGATTTCTCGATTAAAAATTTTAAAAAGGAACTTAAACTTTTCAAGTAAATTGCATTAAATGTTTATGTTCGAGAGCTTGGATTTACAAAGAAATCTGCCGAGATACTCCTGTCTACTTTTTGCGAAAGGAAGATGTTGACACCAGGAACGACGTACTTTCTACACAGATATTGCGGAGAAGACTTTACACTTTTTTTCGTTTCTGCACACTTCTTTCTCTCCTGAAGAGGGAACTTTGGATACTGCAACAATATCGAGAAGGCTACACTGAAACTAGGATTACCACAGTACGACAATATACAACGGAGACTTTTTATCGATGCTTTCAAACATAGTTTGAAGTGCGTCCTTCATAATGAAAACAAACGTTCATCCACCCCATTTCTCATTCTGTTATTACGCAAGAAACTTATGAAAATCCTGAGGTGATGTGTAAACTGAAGTATCAGGAACTCAAGTGCAAAGTCTGTGATGATTTTAAAATCATAGGTATTCTGTTAGGTTTTACATGTAGATTGCACAAAGTACTCCTATTTTTTGTGTAAGTGGGACAGTCGGGCAAGGTTACGCTACTGAACTCAAAAAGAATGTTCACATAGACAGTGATTAGTAGGCTCGAAAAACATTAAAGCTTTTTTTGACAAGTCCGTCTTACTATTACCTCCACTTATTAAAGTTAGGCTTATGACATAATTCGTTAAAGCACTAAACAATGAAGTTGAATGCTTTCTGTACTTATATCATAGATTCCATGTCATCAGTAATGCCTAAATCAAAGTCGATATCTTCACTGGTCAGATATCAGGAAACTTCTACCTGATGTTAATTCTGAAGACGTTATTGGTGCTGCAGAACGATCGGCATGGAAAACATTCCGAGATGTAGTCAAAATCTTTCTTGGTGGAAGAAAGGATTCAGACTACAAACATGGTGGATAGAACGTTTCTTTCCAAAATTTTGGCTGCAAAATGAGCTTGAAAGTGCACGTGTTACATTTGTTGTTTCCCTTGTTTGTCCTACCATTATCGATACATTATGAGGTTATTTTGGTTCGTTTCAACCATGTTGTTATTCAAATCGGTATACGCAATGCATTCCATATTTCAATGTTATGTTCATAAGTATGTAATAAAGAAGTGTTAGGTAAGTGAAACTAATAAGAAAGAAGCATTGCTTACATATGAAAATTAATTAATTGTAAACTTGCCGTGTATCATATTTCTCGTATTTTCATATTGATTTTGCAAAAAAAAACCTGAAGTGATTGAGAAAAATGGACTTCAGATCCGACGTCAGCATGTCAGAAATATAAAAAGATCCCTATTTAAACATTATACAATGATCGGAAATTTGTAATTCGCAGATCAGTTTAATTTTGATTGTCTAATTTTCTTTTCTGTCTTATTAAAATAAGCTGTTTCGTTTTAACGCTTAGTTTTGTTTTTGCCGATTTTACTGGATAGATATAGATCCCCATTGATCTCTAGGATATAATAGATCAGGTAGATATGAATTCGTATGCGCGAATTATGAAAAGTGTCGAAAACTGCTCAATTTATATTACGCTGAAATTACAACACAGTTGCTATGCATCATTAGGTCACTGTTATGAGTCAAAAAATAAATTTTGTTTTTTAGTTTATCATATATTCTCTCGTCAATGATATCAGCTGCTCACAGATGTCATATATTCATCAACGCATTTAAATTCGTAAATAATCTGATAAAGAATGAAACTGCTAGACTTTTGAAATAAATTTGCTCTACAGGTTCCAGAGTTCTTGAAACAAATACACAATAATACATCTAATATGTTTTGGATACAGTTGTTTTTAAAAGTCTTGGTAATTTCGCATAAATTGTTACGCAGTTTTGGCAATTCGGGAAGTGGACATTTACTAGTGGAAACAAAAAAAATGCTTTATACATTTTTCAGAGAGCATGCATTTTGCCATTATTTATTTCTATTAAATTATCGAGATTTTTGACCTGAATGTGTAGAAAACTTTTATAATCTTCCATAGCATTATCTTTAATTCCGAAATTATTTAATAAAATGTTAAGAAAAACATCAGGAACAATTTTGAAGTCGAAACCAAAATCAGTGTCGAAACCGAAACTGTGTTTTATCATTAACTGAAACTTAAATAAAAGTAATTTATTAGTCGGAAAGTTATTTGAAACAGCTTGATGTCTTGCTAATTATACTTTTCTTCCTGAAAAGTAGCGTTGCTAGATGTTCCGTTTTTCTTTCGGATTCAGGATTGAGCGCAGAATAAAATAATAAACATTTTAAGTTGCTGGAAAATATAAATGTTTTCGGTTGAGAAATGCACACTTCACGCCACATTGCCAAGAGCAAACCGTATATTGCCAAACTTACTCTCTGAAGAAAGAAACAAAACAAATAGAATGTAACCCACAAGACTGAACTTTCTGTTCTTCTTCCTAGAGGGAAGTCACAGTGACAGTTGAAAGAAAATGTTGGAGAGGTTCTTGAACAAGCTGAGGGAAAGAAGAAAGAATCATATGATCCCAACATACGGTGTCTTTCCAAGGCACCTTTTCTTCGTCGTGCTACTTTGTGCAGTGTTCAATAGTTCGCAGTCAGTTGAATTCTAGCACTACTTTTTCACCGACTGTAGTTAGTGTCAGTACTTTTCCACTACTTTTGTTCTGACAATTTATTAATTCCTTAATTATCGTTTTTTTACTGAAGTTAAAAATTTACACTTAAGAAGAACTTCCATAAAAGAACTTCACTTGATTGCATGTTGCAGACTAAGGTTGATTGCATTATGTAACTAGATACAATAAACCTAATTAAACTTTCTACTCATTTAGCTCACTGTTTCAATTAATAACAATAATTGTAGCCTTAAGTTTATTACAAAGGTAATTCTAGAAACATCCTGTAACGTAAATTCAAAGCAATGAAATTACAGCAACTACAATTTTTGGAAATGCCTTTCTTGCGAGATATGAAGACACACATTAGGATGGTTAATATTACGAAGCAGAACTTCTCCATCTATACTCTATAAATAAAACGGAATTTGCGTATGTGTGTCGTACATAGTTGCAGACACTACTCGAATGATTTCGCAGAAATGTTCTCACTTTGTTTTCATTAGTAATGTGGGTTTGAATTAAATCCGACATGCGGGGGAGTTGATGATTTATTCGTTTACCGTCGCCTCAAGCGCTCCCTAATTCTACGCAACCCGCCACAAGGCTGAAGAGTGTCGTTAGTGCATACAAGTATTCTGCTCCTACGATTGAGAAATATCGGCCGGAAGTATTACGTGAATCCCGGACAGGTAAATCAAATTTCTCCAAGATAGTGTCATGGCGAACGAATGCTCACATTTGAGGGAGACCGCTGTAACAGTAGGACACTTGACAACCACGTGCAAACCAAGACACATCACACCCACGCTTGCGAGGTCTTTCATTTACTAGAATGTTCGCACACCGTTGCGCAAAACGTGTTTAACAATCACGTGGCGAGTAGTGTCTGAGATGTGTAATAAACTGCAATAGCGAAGCATTGCCGCGTCCACAAGTATGGCATAAATTCGTTTTAAATATTGGTTAAGTGATTTGCAACCAAATTTACATATCTTTCTTTCAGGTATCACAAGACTGTCATCCGATCCATCACTTAGTCCTACTTTGCTTTCCCTCCGCCGGCCCCTGTCGCCAGTCTGGAGATAGCTAGCGTCTCCCATGGCCGCGTGTAGATCCCCATCTGCATTTCCAATGCACGCGCTCGGCGCTCGCCTGGCGTGCGGCTGACGGCGGGACTGCGGCTGTGTGTGTTGCAGGCTCGGCCCAGTCCACGGTGGCGGAAGTGACGCTGCCGCCGCGCTTCCTGTCGCGAGGACAGACCTTCCGGGTGGTGGCGGGCGACACGCTCGTGTTGCCCTGCGAGGTCGAGGACCTGGGTGAGTCGCGCGCCTGCGCACATGGCCTTCTTTCTTTCTTCGCTCGGCGCCAGTGGAGCTTTGCCTGCGGATGGGCAAAGAAAAAATAATATTATTCAAAGGAATTGGTGTCTGTATTCAATATTGAATTTTACATACCAATTATTGACAGTCGATGGAAGAATAAACTGTTAATAATTGGGGCACTATTCAATGAATTATTAGTAGTAAAGTAAAAGTGCTGTAATAGTTATTAACTGTTTCCGGGAAATCTTGTCAAATGTGTAGAAATATTTACCTAACATTACTTTTACGGACAATATCAAGAAATATATTTGTCATTTGTTCCGTGAATAAGACGCTTAGTGAAACTTGTTAGAATTGTTCACGATATTAAGAAACAATTCAACCCAATTTTGGTACTCACATCACAAAGATGTTACATTAAATATAACCAGACATATTGATCATAACACATTTTTTAGTCAAAGTTATTCGCTCCTTTTATCTAATATTGATGAGATTGCTAATAACGCAAGGAATATTCACTAGTGATTGTTTGCACAAGAAGTATTATAATATAAATGAAGAATGACTACATACTTGGAATTCATCATGAAGCATTTTGCAAGTGGATTTAATATATAATGGTTCAAAAATATTTTAATTTCTCTTTCTTAATTTCTTTGAGGGGGAAGGAATTCAAATGAGAAATATATATTTAATCTGACAAAAATGTTCGTAGATTTTTAGGAAAATATTTAAATACTTAATTTGTTCATTCATCCTCATTGTTCGAAGCATGTATTATATGGAAACTAAGATAATAATTCATTGAGCACTTCTCCTTTGTCATTGTTGATTTTAATCAGATTTTACAATTCGAAAATTGAAGAATGTTCACTCTATACCACTAGAGGTGGATGGTGGAGCAAAAGAAACGTGGCTTTGGAAATAATTTTAGAACATATATTTTTTAAATATGTAAATTTTTCATCATTGTATATTTCGTGTGGAAGAGGATGGACGTTCTAAGATAAGAGGGGTGGGCGCTGCATTCTTACACATCTTTTGCCTGTGAGCATGAGTAAATTCGTACCGTCCACCTAAACCTGCTAGAGTATGACACGAACTGCCAGAAAATACAAATGTAAAGGATGCGTTTACTAGGTTGTAGCGAAGCGTATACAATTGTTTCATAGAATTCAGTAATCTCTTACAATATTAGACTGGAGTTATTGAATGAGATAAAATGTATTTGCGACTGTAGATATTGACATACTCTGGTTCTGATGTTTTATAAACATTTCATAATTAACGTACTTATTCTGAGGTATGTTGAATATCAATTTTTAATCAATTCTTTCAATGAGTGTAATTTAGCGAGAACCAAATGAGGTGTTTTATGAGCTGTCTTTTATGGCTTTCTTGATATTTTTAACTATCGAAAGAACATTTAATACGGGATTCATGTCAGGGCTATTTTTATCCCATTGAAACCCAGACTGATCAATGTCTTGAAGATATTTTCCAAGTTCCTTTTTTGTTATGATATGTAGCATAGACATGTTTCTTTTCAAACAACTCATTTATGCGAGGAAATCATTGGTTATTTAGGTTTTCTAAGTATTGGGCGTGTCTCATTGTACCATTAACTTGTGTATACAATTCCAACAACATTAACAAACATTACACTTCAAGCAGTTACTTTTTTCAGGTGCTTGTAAGGACGTCTTACAATCCATTGATTCGGTGAAAAAATATTCAATCTAATAATTTGGCCACCTTTGTAGGTACTATACATAGAGATGTTGGTACTGAATCTTGGTTGAATCCCGCTATTAATTATTCTGAAATATTTATTGCAAAATACGCAGTGAACAGACGAGTCTGTGTAGGCTTGGGGAGGGGGGGTTGTGTAAAATCAGAACTAAATAGTGCACCTTACATTAAACACAAAAAATCAGTAATTATAGAAATAGAATATTGCCAAAGAGTATGGCTTTTTTTTGAGAGTATAAAGCGCTTAGTGACGATTTTAACGATCTTTCGAAGTCAACGGATCTGACGTATCTGAGAGATTTTCCAAGAAAATTGTTATTGTCACCGGCGACTTAAATTAACGCTGATTTACCTGGGGAGTGACGGAACAAATCATCTCAGGTGGCAGAGAACAAGCTGGGCTGGGAAACGGATTCAAACAAGTTCGGTCGTCATCAATCACGGGAGGTTCGCTCTCAGACGTTTAAGCCGGTCAAGCTCTGAGACGTTAAGCCGGACGTTTAAGACGTTACGGTCAGGCCACTTGCATGTCGTAGTGCGATTTCTTTTGACTGTGCACCTGAGCCCTGTCTTCGCATTGGCATTATGTCACTGCATTTCGCGTCTTTCTCCATCGTCGCGACCGTATCGAGTAGCGGTTGATAGTCGCGATCATCTACCGGCACGCCGAGAAAGACACGAAATGCAGTGACTATGCCAAAGAGAAGAGGGGGCTCAGGTGCACAGTTTAAAAAAATCGCACTATACCTTCACGACGCTTCGGGAGATTAGCGACCATTGATGCAACCCACGTACTCATAAATGCTATGATGTATACAAATCGCCTGTAATATAAACGACATGCGAGATTTATGTCACCTCATGCAGTACACATAGCATTAACACTATCAAAGGTCTAAAGAGAAAATTTAGGGCAGATTTTAAGAAATACTTGTTTTTGCTATTTTTTAATATTGCATATACATACATACATACATATATGTATACATACTTTTACTTGAACTGCAAGTGGGTATGCCCCGATGGCAGTTAATTACCAATAATTATAATAATAATTTCAATAATACTGATACTACTACTAGTAATAATAATAATAATAATAATAATAATAATAATAATAATAATGAGCACAATACAAAACGAGAATGCAACAATCATACTATCACAAATTGTAAGTGTTATAACAACTATTTCAAATCTATCATGATATGCAACAATTATATGTTGGTGATACTAAACATCAATACAAGCTATATAGATACTGACTAAATTAGATTTAAAAAACACATTGATCGCGTTCACAACACTTCACTGCACTAAACTACACTGCACTGTTTTGCTTTGAATTATACAGACCAGTACTTCACAACCCTTCATCACACTTTGTTACTCATTTGACATTTATTACTCTCTGCTTGTGCTAACTTATTTCTAAAACTTTGGACACTTAGATGAAAGACTTTCAAAGTTGCTGCCGGTAAACTGTTCCAATCTGTTCTCTGTTACAAAAAGAAAATTTCTCAACATCTGAATTTTGTCTCTTTGTTTGAATTTTGTGAGTCTGATCACTTTGGCAAATTAATTTCGTGTTTATAGTCTGACATGGATTTCCTTCCAAGCTGAACGACCTACGTACGATTTATAAGGTTCCCGTGCCTTCTTTATTGCGTTAGTTCGCCGGGTAAACGTATTCGCTTTCCTCTATTTTATCTAGATTTTCCCGGTGCGACTTTTTCAAAAGATCCCAACATGCCACTCCATATTCTGTTAGAGATTGAACCAGCAAAAGATACCATATGTATTTCACTCAATATTGCGAGAAAACTACTGAAATTGTCAAAAAATGTGTAGGGTTTTAATGAAAGCACTAAAAATGGAGAACAATTTTCATTTCAAGGAAATATCTCTTATCTTCAATATCTTCAATATTGTAGATGTAAGAAGACGCCGAAAAATTAAAACTATAGCAATTTTCGAAATGTTAGTGTTAACCGTTAAAATAGGACAATCAAAAATGCCATCTTTTTAGACATCTCACAAGATATTGAAACGAAGTACGTTTCTGTAATTAGAACAATTAAAATGATCACTAATTACAAATTAAAATTAAAATTAAAGTACGGAGTTGATCAGCGCAGTACGCCGCCGCCGCCGCCACCACGGTCAATCGGGGGGGGGGGGGGGGGGAACGACCGAGGCGAGCGACGGGTTAGTGGTGCGCGAGAGGCCTCGAGTGAGCACGGACAGGGCAGTGTTGCTCCAAGAGATTTATTGTCGTTGTCAGTTGCAAATTCGGACTGAGTGTGGCCGTTGAGTGTGGAACCAGGTTGATAAGGTTTAACAATCAGATTGATTAGAGGAAGAGAATTCGCACAGAACTGATTAAAAACCAATAAAGACAGAAAATCGTGTGGCCGGTGGGCTCGGTGCATTATCCCCCGGTAAATTATAACAGTGGGCAGTCTGTAGCGGACTCCGCCGCAAAGTTGAGGAAGGTCGCTGAAAAGACTAGAACCTGCGACGAACATCAATCACGCGTCGTGCGTTCCAGTACCCGTGAAGACATTGCTCACACGGCTGGGTGGAAACCCGCGATTCATCGACGCTTACGTTGGGACAGAGGAGGCGAAACCGAAGATTGCCGAAGACACCGGCGCCGATGCCACGGAACGGCCCCGCTCACTCCAGTAGGAAGGCAGTAGTTTTAAAACATATGAGGTAGCGTCTGACGTGCACTTGTTCCAAGGCCTGCGCATATGGCGATTTGTAAATCTATTTGTAAAGTGTGTTCTCAGATCATTAAATATTTAGATGTGTAAAAGAATTTATAACGATTATCTTCCTATGCCCTACGCCCAAATCCCTGGAGACCCATTCACGAAAAAGTACTGTCCCTTGCATAATTTATTTGTCGTGAAGTAACCGCTTCCAGGCTACGTCACAGTATGTAAAGAAAAAATAAGCCATTTGGGTGGAGAAATTTGAAAATGACCCTGGAGACAATTTCATGTAAAAGGTAGCCCCTAAATAAAATAATGTGTTTTTTTTCAAAATAGCAGAGTTTTCCGTTAAGCAGATGGCACCCGGAAATATTCATTGTGGAAAACTCCTCCGAACAAATTTTGGCGCTAGTTTGTTCACAGATGACACACAGAGGATGACGACATTTTTCGTGTTAAACCGACTTTTTGGTATTTGAAGTACCACAAATCATGCATGGCTACAAGACGACAAAATTTTTAATTTTGAAAATGAAAGGAAAATTCAGTACTTTCCTCCCGTACGGTAATCTAATGTAAAAAATTTAATCAAAACATTTGTGGCTATT